ACGTTCCAACTATAAACAACCAATAATTAAGTAATGAAAAAAAAAGTCTTATTGACTAATTAATTACGTACCGTCTTTGAAAATCTTGTCTTGGGCCAGAGCAGCGATCCGTTGCTTCATGGCGCTATTATCAACAGTAAGAATCACCCTTTGATGATCCAAGAATGCAACCCTTGGTGATAATGCCGACACCTCAGTCTTGATGAATTTTCCATTAAAACAGACAATAATTAAGAAAATTATAATCCTATATATATATATTAAACATAAAATTAAGTTCATCATTTTCCATGTAAGTACACCTGTAATGTTGTCACGCTCCGTTCAAGTTCTGATATATATTGCAGCTTTCTTACTCTCGATCTCTGCGCTGATTGCCGATTTGCCAAAATTCTGATATAGACACCCAAAAAAAAAAAATAAGCGAGAAAATTTTTAGAGATATTTCATGATTTAGGTTCGAGTGATATTAATTTTCAAATAGTGTTATATAATATTTTTAATGAAACGGCGTAATTGAAAAAAAAAGTGTACAATTACGTGAATTTCTTTATGGAATCAGGATTTTTTTTTTTTACCTTTTAACCCTTTTTGGATCGATGCTGGAATCGGGGTTGGAGGTTGGAGGCGGTTGTGGTTGCGGTTGCGTTACCGGTTGAGGTTCTGGCTTGCATGAGCTTTGAACCTCTCCGGGCTCGGTTTTGGGGTGCTGCTGGTGATTCAACGGGGTGGTCGCCGTCTTCTCGTCGTTGTTGTTGCTGTTTTGGTCGGAAGAAGAGGAAACCGTGGGGGGCAACGAGAGGGAAACGTCGTCGGAGAACATAGACATAAGCTGCTCGTCATCAAACCGGTCAAAGCCAATATTGGTTTCAGATGGCAGCATGGCGTTGGATTCCGGCAGAGCCTTGCTTTCTCCGTCCAATGGTGGATCCAGGAAGGCAATGGAGTCGCTTATGGAGCGGCGGTGGGCGCCACGCCGGATGGAAGAGAAGTCAAGGAACTCGTCAACCCATGATGGAGGAATCTGGTTCGTGGAAGAGCCGGTCATGGTGGCGAGAGACGGTGATGGCGAGGCGGTCGAATTGATGAAGTTTGGCAATGTCGTCGCCGGAATGCGCTGGAGAGGACAAGAAGACCAATTTTGGGGTACTTTGGGAGGTAATTGTGCCATCCTCTTTTCTCCTAAGGGCGTGTCAAAATGCTAATCTCACACGAATATAAATAAACGGCCTTTTTACTAGGAAAAAGAAAAAGGGATAAACTTTAAAACCAAACAACCTTTTTACTCAAAAACTTAAAACAACCCACCAAAATTAAACCTCATACTAAACCTAAAAACTATCTTAGATCTTAGATTAAAGGCCAATTAATATAAAGAGAAAAAGAACAGTTAATCCCTTTTATGAACTTCAAATCAAAATTTCTTAAGTTGGTGAAATATTAATTAAAACAAAACTATTATTAAAGATTAAAGATCAATTCAATTATATCATATTAGAATAATTTTTAACATTCAAATTAACCACTACAAAATATATATATATATATATATATCTTATACAACATTTTTTGTTGTGATAGTTTACATTAAAATCTTATTAAAATAATATATATTTATAATGCTTTTTATTATAAGAATTTACCACTGAAAAATAATATCACAATTAGGGATTACTTTCGGTAGTGGACTCAAAAAAAAAAAACTTGTACGGTTCAAAACTAGAAAAAAAAAAAGGACACTGGAATTGAAGTCCCCACTCAGGTAACAACTCCAATTAAGGGAAACAAATGAGCTCTTAATTAAGCAAATGTGAATACAAATACCATTAATTCATCACCAGGATTCAATTGACCGGAAAAGTTAAAAAGAAAAAATTGATCGGCATTTCATTTCTTATAATCCCCCGATTGGGTTTGGTTGTGATTACCCCTTTATTCAAAGGGCAAGAGGTCGTATAAGTGGCTCACATGGGAAGGAGATTAGGACAGCTAGCAACAGCTGGGGGAAAGAGGACTTCAGTGGGAAGTGTAGAGGGAGAGGTATGTGAGAGTTTAATATCACCGGAGGGAATCAGCCCACCACGTGCCGATGTGACCCCTCTTTTCTCCTTAGGATCACCGTATCGTATATGAAATATAAATTGCTTAGCAGTAACTTAGTTAAGAGTCGTTCAAATTTTTTAAAATAAAATTTTAAGTTTAAATTTTGTGAATAGAAAAATAGATGTTGAGAGAATTATTTTTAATGAGGTATGACATGATTCGATTCTAAATTAATCAAAATTTAATATGATTATAAAATATCAAAAAATTAATACAATAAAAAATAAAATAAAATTGCTTAATGACTTGGTTTAATGGTGTGAATTGCGTAATATTTTTTTTAGGTATATAAACTTTCTGTGTTTGTGTTTAGTTGATTTATTTTGATTTTTTTAATATAAATTTTAAATAAAATTTCAATAATTTATATAAATAATAATTAAAAAAATTTTCATATAAAGTTTTTATTTGGGTACTTCTATTTGATAAAAAAATTTAATTGCTATTTATATAGTATATTTAATTTTCATATAAAATTTATATTTTAAAAATTAAAAAAATCAAACTAAGTACATTAAAAATAAACTGAAGAACTATACTTTTTCTTTCTCCTTAATCTGCAAAAGCCCTGCATATTTCATAAGCCCTACATATTTCATAAGCATTTTTGCAGAGTCGATGTTTCAAGGGAAAGCCTAATTAACTCTCAAATCTGGTAGGATACTTTAGTCCTCGATCGTATTATCGATTAAGTTTTTATTTTTAAGTGAAGTTACAACAATATATATATACTTGGTTTGGTAAATCGACCGTCAGTGTGGACAGTTTACCTCCTTTTTAATAACGAAAGGGTAAACTTAATCATTGGACTCAACATGAAATTAAAGTATTGTATATGGTTCGTGGTGTTATGTCGGATGAGTAGCTGTGAAATTTAGGAGAATATATTTTCTAAGAATACAGAACAAAGACCTTCTTCCCCCATGTGGACTCTCTGTAAGAGCCCACCTTTCTTTGCTTTGTCCCCAAATCAGAGTCACATGGAGGGGTATTGTGTCCCTTGTGCTTCCTTCTCTCTCTTTAATACTCATGGGCTTAATTTCTTGGTACCTTCCTCTTTTCTTTTGACATGCATGTCGGGGATTTGTATTGTTGTTTTTTTTAATCAAAGTACTTAAGGGACAATTATAATGATTAGGTAAGTTGGAACTCATGTTAAAAACCTTTCCATCTGTCATTATCAAAAGTTTAAAAAAAATATTTTTGTAGATTGGAGTATATCAACTTAATTGTAAAATCAAAGGCATAAGAAGAGGATGTTTTTATAATTTTGTAATTTGATATAATTTAGTTTGTAAAATCATACTCAATTAAAAGTTTGCTAGAAATGTATAAAAAAATTTTATCTACCAAATTAAAAATAAAAAAAATTAATGAGTAGTATAAATTGTTCTAAATTATATAATAAAAATTGTCAGATAAAAGATAAATATCTTATTATTAAGAATCCTCCACTACCTTACTTTCTTTATTTCATAATTTAAACTACAAAAACATCAAATCCTCTAAAATATAGTACTAGTTTTATTACACTTATTTTTTAAGTACCAGTAGTGCCTTAAAATCATGAATTAATCACATTAGTTACAAGTCATAATCACAAGTAATAAGTTCAGTTAAGAAATACCAAGATTCTTTGATTTCGATTATGCATTTGCATGTGGATAGTGGACACCATAAATTGACCCTAAACTTTCATACCATTATTATATCACAAAAAAAAATTTTTTTTTTTAAACCATATTAAGTTTAAGATCCCAATAAATTCTTAAGAGTCGTACAGACGAAGGTGAGAGCGAAGGAAGCATAATTGCACGTGGGAGCAGGAAGACAAGGGCCCTACTTCTCAATTTCAAATACCTAAAATAAAAATGAAAATAAAAAACAATTTGTTATTACCATAAACAAATGTGGAAAAGGTAGGTGCTGTCCACTTCATACACAGTTACATCCACAACCTGCACTGTCTTTCCTTTTTGTGTTTTCAAGTACACCCTTCTTTCTACGCGTCCAGGAATTATTCGACATTTCACATAGAAACTTTGAAAAAAAAATAAGTTTTTTATTGATTATATATTAAATTATAAATTATTAACCCTTAATATATTAATCTCTAATTATTATTTTTATCAAAAAAAATTATAATATAATTTAAATTATAAAATACCCAACCGACACTTAAAATTATGCAATATTTTATTATGAAAACACTTGAGATTATTGATACTACTATAAACGTAAAATATGTTTCTACATTAGTATTCTCCATGGCACCCTCTTGCATGAAATTACTTGGACATTATTATTATTAAAAACATAATGAGAAATAATTCTTTTATTTCGTTAACCATTCACCACATATATGATTACAACTGGAGTATTATTTTTTATTTCATTTAAAAGAAAGATATATTACTAATTTATTATTAAATTACTTAAATTATTGACAATAAATTAGGCTAACAAGTTAAATTAATAAGATTAATAAACTAAATTAATAATTAACTTAATAAGGCACAATTACAATTCAAACCGTAAATGTTAAGATACGTGAAGATAAACAATAGTACAGATTGGAAATGATTTGAGAGACAAAATTAACTCGAGCGAAGTTGTTATCAATTATCACTAACAAATTTGTAAGTGCTGAATCTTATATAATTTTTGAAATGAAATTTGAAAGGTATTTATTAAAATTATATAATTCTAAGGTATAATTAAAGGGAGTTTGTCATAAGAAAGTAATTTTTAAATTAGGACTGCAATTTTTTTTTTTCAGTCATTGCAGCTATCTCTATTCTTAGTTAACTATTAGAATGGAACAATGGTGTCAGTAATGCTAAGTTTTAAAATCATAAAAACTCTAACTTCAGAAGCTGCTTACCTCAAAGATTGTCAGAGGGTTTTTGTAGAGGTGAAGTGTAACATAACCATGTGTGAACTTGTCTTATACACTGTTAGTAAAAAATTAAGATTACTTCTCTTAAGAGAGAAGGTGCTTCACAGTTAAGTGACTGGACATTTTGGTGTCTTGTTTTATCTTGGTTGGTTGAAGTCTCTCCTTATCTTAGGTTGTCATTGTTTCATTTCTTAAATAAAAATATCCCTTTTGATTTTTTATTATTTTTTTGGGGAACGACCAATTTCTGGGAAGGGAATAAAGTACAACTATGAGCAACAGTTTTCATCCGCCTTGTGGCGTAATTTAGGGGCTAATTTCTTTAGAAAATAAGTTTGGGGACAAAAACTCTCAAAAAAGTTAAGTTGGTGGGCAACTTTGGGGGGTTTCCTTAAGAAAAAAGCCCAGGAGAAAATTTTAGCAGATTATGAAAAGAATTGGGCCGTACCCAATTGCAATCGATGAGCCTGATGTGAAAGTGGGCATGCAGCCATATATTTATTCTTACCTAAAAGAGAAAAGCCCAATAAGCCTTTCACATTTCTGAATTCCGAAGCTCAACAATGCAGTCCATTGGCCCAAAAAATTTTGTGATAGAAGGGTTCAACCTTGATGCTATCACAAACCTTGATGTCGTCCAAAAAAAAACTGATGAAGATTGGAGCAAACACATTAAAATTCATAACTAGAAAAAAAAACTATTAATTTAAAAAGGGACATAGAATTAATAGTGTAATAAATGCATGTTTTTA